TGAGTTTTATTTGTTTTTTCTTTTTAAAAAGTTATTTTTATATGCATTAGCATTTTGCCTGTGTGTATGTCTGTGTAAAGGTGCCAGATATCTTGTTACTGGAGTCACAGACAGTTGTAAACTGCCATATGGGTGCTGGGAATTGAACCTGGGTCCTCTGAAGGAGCAGTCAGTGCTCTTAACTGCTGAACCATCTGTAGGTGGAAACTACTCATTCATTTCCTGGCCACCTAGACCTAAAAATCACACAGAAACTATTAATTACAATACTGTTCAGCCAATAGCTTAGGCATATTTCTGGCTAATTCTTAGATCTTAATTAACCCATTTCTATTAATCTGCGCGTTAGCACAAGCCTGTGGTGTACTGGTAAGGATCCAGATTCTGTCTCCTTTGGCAGCTACATGGTGTCTCTCTGATTCCACCTACTTTCTCTCTCTATCTCTGTTTGGATTTCCTGTCTGGCTTTACTCTGCTAAGCCACTGGCTGAAACAGCTTTATATATTAGCCAATAAAAGCAACACATACACAGAAGGACTTCCTACATCAACCATATCTCCAGTCTCCTCCATAGTGACAGTTAATTAACATTCTTACCAGCGCTGCATTGTTACATTTGCCATACATTCTAATCAACATTTGCTATTTTAATTTTCTTGTGAATAGCCATTCTGCCTGGAATGAGATGGAATCCCACTGTAACTATAATTTATGTAACTTTGCATTTCCTTGGTAGTTAAGAATGTTGAACATTATTTATAATCTGTGTAGTTCTTCATTTGAGACAGAGTTTCTCTCTGTGTTGCTCACTTATTCTTTTTTTTTTTTTTTTTGTTTTGTTTTGTTTTTCGAGACAGGGTTTCTCTGTGGCTTTGGAGCCTGTCCTGGAACTAGCTCTGTAGACCAGGCTGGTCTCAAACTCATAGAGATCTGCCTGCCTCTGCCTCCCGAGTGCTGGGATTAAAGGCGTGCGCCACCATCGCCCGGCTGCTCACTTATTCTTGAACTGAGATCAGCTGATCTTTCTGCTTCCTCAGCCTTCTCAGTGCTGGGATTACAAGTGTGTACCACCACTCTTGGCTGCAAATGCCTTCTTTTATCTTGTGTTTTCTTGTGTATATACTATATTGTCTGTCTGGAATATCTTCATCTAAATTATTCTGTCAAGATTTAGCTCTCATACCTTTTAGGCCAGTCATGGTAACATATCTTTAATGACAGCACTTGAGAAGAAGAGACAGGTCAATTTCTTATGAGTTCAAGATCAGCCTGCTTCCACATAGTAAGCCCCAGGTCAGCCAAGATTGCATAGTAAGAGGCTGTCTTAACACTGTTTCTGTCATAAGAGTACAACCTTCTTTTTTAAAAACTTTTTTATTACATTGTGTGTGCTTATGCACCCATTCACCCCATACTACTAATGTCAGGCAGGGGACACCTTGTAGGAGTTGATCTTTCTGTTCCATTATGTGGGTCCCGAGAATCAAACTCAAGTCTTTAGGCTTGGTGGCAAATGATTTTGTCACCTGAAGTGTCTCTCTCTTCTTGAGGGTGTGGATATACTGTGTCTCTGGTCCATCTTTGTATTTGTAGTGCTCAGCAAATAAGTGATGAATAAATCTTTCATAGGTTGTGGACTGGGCATTGTGTTTAAGATTAGAGTCTCATTTTCTAGCCTCCCTGGTCTTCAATTTATAGGTCTTCTGCCTTGATTCTACATTATTGGTGTTATAGGTGTGTACCTTCATACTTTACATTTTTTAAAGCTTTTTCTCTAATGAGAATAATTTCTAATTAATCTAAGTCTTGGTTTTGTTAAGAAAATTTTAAATACAAAAATTCTTACAATATGTCAAACCATGAATTAATTTTAGAGTTTCAGAGAACTGCGTATTAGTTAAAAAGTGACTTTTAGCAAGAGTTAGGTAGCCACTCACAGGAAATTAAGTAGCTGTTAATGGGAAGGTATACCTTTATTCCATTAAGAGCAGGGGTCATGTTTAAACTCTAATATAGTTATAGAAATGTGGTAAATATTTTTAAAATTCAAAGAAAAGCATGCATACTTTTGAGAAAGAAATGGCATTCTGTATTCTTTCAGAACCAGTTGCTTGAAAACTTCCTAATTGTTTTAGTGCTATGTGAATTTTGTGAATTCACAAACATTGTATCTACATGTCATATGCAAAGCCTGATGCTTAAACTGAGGGGAGACTTAGAGATCTAAGAAGCCTTATGCTCTTTTCATAGGCCTTCAGAAGTAAAAGTCCTTGATTTGAAATGGGTTTACTTTGGAAAGAGAAGTTAAACTCTTATCCTATAGTAAAGACACTGTCCAGTCTCTTATTTTGCAAATAATTTCTATAAACAGTAGCTCTAGTCATATATTGTTATTACGTTGTTAAATTGGGTCAATAAATGCTTTATTTGTGTCTGTGTTTTTTGACCCCAGAGGGCAAATAAGTCAGTTGGTTTTTGAAACAGGGCTTCATTATATAGCTCAGGCCAGCCTTGAGTTTGAGATCTTCCTGGCTTGCTTTTTTTAAAATTCTAAATTATTGAAACCTCTAACTTTAATAAATAGGCTATATTACGGTGGAGAGGGACTTATATAATAGTTTGCACCAAGGTGAAGGAAGTAAAGATCGTTCTGTTCTACTCCTGTCACCTTTATGGTGCAATGCTTACTAATGCAACCTTCTCAGGTATTTAATACCTCTGTCCCTCAGAAGTCTTTCTTATTAAAACATTTTTTGAACCCTCTTTTAGCTAATACGTCTTAGAGACACAGCAGTCTTCATGAGGAATAGAATATAATGTTTTGTGTTACAATAAGCTAAGTTCATTGCTCAAGTTGAGTATCTCTCACCCAGAATGCTTAGGCCAGAATATCTTTACATTTTCAAAATTTTGCATATATTTAAAAGAAGACTAAATCCCAAACATTATATTTCACGTTTGGGATTTAGTCTTCTTTTAAATATATGCACACGTGCGTGTGTGTGTGTGCGTCTGTGTGCTAAATGATAGTTATATATGTCAAATAATTTTTTATTTTTTATTTTTTTTTATGTCAAATAATTTTGAGCATGGAACAATTGTATATAGTTTATTACTTTGACATGTCAACATTCAAAATTTGGAATTTTAGAGAATTTTGGATTTTAGATTTTCATATTACCGAATCTCAGCCTATACTGCTTGTACTTTAATAGGAGCCTTAGACTCAAATTGGCTTGAATTCTACTTCTAGATGTTTGGGAAATGATGTGGTTTACTGCTAAGGGACTTTGTATAATACTGGAGTCCTCTAGGGCTAATTTAATATAGTCTGCAGTTTTTATATTTGCATGACTATGTAAGAATAAAAATTCTGTAGGTTGTAATGTTTAAATGAGATACTAGATCTTAAAAATTAAGTTCATAACTATTCATTTTGCAATATTTATTTTGATAGTATTTTTTAATTTTGTCAATATTTATCTGTACCAAAAATCAGAAGACCACAGAATAAAGTAATGTGACCAAAAATTGCAACAAAGTTTTCTACACATTTAAATTAAGACAGTTGAGAAAAAATAATGCTTATTCTTATTACCTCATATAGTAAATTAGGATATGATACATGTCATGATAAGGAGGAAAAATTAGGCATGATAAAGGGTAGTGTATAGATGGAAAGTTGGTGGATGACTTGGAGAAGGAAGACTGAACACAGAAATGGTGGGGGAAGAACATTCCACCCTGAGGACATAGCAGTAACGATAAGACTAACACACAGGAAGTGTCTGAGTACTCTGATGCATTTACCTACGTAAGCCTTACTGTAAGTGTTAGAAGTAGGCTGAGTGAGGCCTGGTGGCACAGCCCTATAAAACCCAACTACTAAGACTAAGGCAAGAGGATAAAAGTTTCAAAGCTGCCTGAGTTCAGGGTCAGCCTGAGCAATATAAACATAGTAAGACCCTGTCTTAAAAAGCAAAAAGAGGACTGGAGATATAGCCCAGTGATAGAGTAATGTTTGAGTGTAGTGTCACATGCCTGTAATACTAACCTTCAAGCAGTGGCAGGCAAGTCTTTGTGAGTTCTAGGCCAGCCTTGTCAACATCACAAGTTCTAGCCTAGCCAAGACTATATAATGAGATCCTGCTGAAAAAAATAAACAAAAAAAAAAAATAGGGCAGGGGCAGGAAACCTATTCTACCATTTTTGTAGATGACGAAGTTGAAGTATAGAGAGGTACTAAGTCTAAAAACTGAACCCTGATCCATCTTCTTGGGAAATACTATATATACCAATATTGCTGTGTGTGTGTGTGTGTGTGTGTTTAAAAATTCTATATTAGAAGATAACAATTTGATTTGTACCAACTTGCCAAAGGAGTTCATACATAGTATACAAAACTTAAAGCAATGAAGATTATTGGGGTTGCTCTGATAAAAGTAGACTAGAGAGAAAGATGCAAGAGAGGAAGAGAGAGGGCCAGAAGATGGCCCAGTGGTTAAGAGCACTTGCTTACTCTTAAAAAGAACTTAGGTTCTATTCCTAGTACCTGCTTGGCAGCTTACAACTGTCATTAACGCGATCTGATGCCATTCTCCTACCTCCTGGGCTCCTACACACACGTCATGTACATAGGCACTCAGGTGTGCATGCACACACATACACATAAAATACTTTTAAAAAGAAGAACAAGAGAGATAACATGTTAGGAGGCATTTGCAGTGGTCTCAGAGAGAGAATGACAAATTGGACAGAAGAATTACAGAGGTGATAATAAAAGGTAGTAAGATGTTGGATGAGTGAATGTATACTACATGAAAACATGGCCCCAGGTTTTATATCTGTGTAAATGGAAGGATGGATCGACCATTTATAAGATGGAGTTGGAGTATGTTTGTTGAAGATCAGAAAATGCAGTTTTGGGTGAAAGTGTGAGAGAGTTTAATATACAGGCAGTTGGAAACAAGAAAAAGTGTTGTTTTTTTTTTTTTTGTAGACTATGAGAAGACAACGAAATGAAGTTGTAGTTGAATTAAGGAAGGTAAGTATGGTTTACTATTGGTATTTTGAGAAATAGTTCTGATAACATATATAGAAAATATTACATCTTTTGTAAAATATACAGTCTGTTCTATAATGAAATTTTATTTATTGAATATAGGTAAGTTTTTTCAGTCTCAAGTGCTCAGATTTCTTCCCCCCCGCAACAAATTTTTTTTTATTTATTTATTAAAGATTTCTGCCTCCTCCTCACCACCGCCTCCCATTCCCAACAAATTTTTTAACTAAGCCTAGAGAGCTGTTGAAAAGTGGGCAAGTTATATCTTGCCCACTTTCCGTTAATGGATATGAACAAGTTTATTTTTTTAACTTTTAATGATTTATGTAAAGTATAAGCCATAGTGAATCGCCCAGCTTTTGCTTTGACTCTGATTTTAGGTAATAAAGAGTCACTTCCAGATGATGTATAAATGGTTTGTTACTTTTGAGTGTGTTGTGTGTGTTTCTTTCTGGCTTAAGCTGCACACTAGCTATTTTAGTAAAACCATTTTGTTTTGACAATAGTTCACAGTTCACTAGAAGTTAATAGTGTTCGTGATTAGGGGCAGTGCTTATTTCACAACTTGCTTTAATTTTTTTGAATTTGTTTTCACATTTAAAAGGCGCTTCATTATTTTAGTTTGTAGGCACAGGATTGCTTACCTTTTATATGAAAATTAATCGTTTTTCTTATGTGAAATTCTTCTTTAAAGAATAAAAGAGATGAACATCTCTTAAAGAGAAGAAATGTGCCGCATGAAGATATCTGTGAAGACTCTGATATAGATGGTGATTTTAGAGTAGTAAGTTATGTTATTTTGGTAATCTAAAACTTCCAACGGAAGAGTTTTTATAAAGAGAACATTTAAAGATGACATTTTAACTTTGTTTTCTCTTTAATTTTTTGCCAGCAAAATACCTCTCTAGAAGCTATTGTTCAAGTAAGTTGGGTTTTATTCACCTCTCTTTGTACTTTCTGGACTAAACAACTAATTACTGTGTATTCATGTGATAAATTGTTTTACTTTTTTTATAGAATGCTTCAAGTGATAACCAAGGAATTCAATTAAGTGCAGTACAAGCTGCTAGGTGAGTTAAATGCTCAAATGCAAGTTCTTCAGACCCCTCCTTTAGGTAACCAAAGTGCTTATATTAGTCAAAACAGTAAATTGAGTTATAAGCATAATGTATCGTGTATAACAAGTATACATTAAATATATATTGCTGCATATACACTAGTGTTTTTCTAAGCCAGAAATACCAAGTTATTTTGTACATTTCAGTTGTGAAACTTGTGTTGTCATATTTTTAGGAAAAAGCCAGAAAGACTTAGTGAGGAACTGAGGAGATAGCTCAACCTGGAAAGTGCTTGCTGTGCAAGCTCGAGGACCCATGTTAAGTCCCCAGATCCCATGTAAAAAGCTGAACATGTAGCTGGCCTGTAATGCTAGCGCTGGAAGTGGAGAATAGAACTATCCTTGGGGTTCCCCTGGCCAGGCAGCATAGCTGACTTGGTGAGCCCTGGGCCAGTGAGAAACCCTGTCTCAAAAAACAAGGTGGGTAGCTCCTGAGGAATGGATTCTGAGGTTGCACTTCTGGTTTTCACTTTTTTGTGTATGTACACATACATGAGCACACACACACACACACACACACACACACACACATATACCCAATTTATTATTGAGAAAGATCTTTGAATTAACTAGTATGTTGAGGAAGACATGGTTGTGTTATAATATAACATGATGGTTGCTTTGTATATTTACAGATATAGAAGGATTGGTCAAACAAAAAATATTTAAACAAGATACTGGTTGTAGTTGATAAGATTTTAAAGTGCAGAGAATTTTCAGATTTGTGCAATATCTTATCAAGTGTGTGAATCTTTTATATTTTATTACATGTCCTGCTTATGTGTATTTACCTTAACTAAGACAAATGGGAAAAGTGTAGCACCGCTACATTATTGTATCCCATAGGCTAAACAACTGCTTACAGTTTGGTACAAGTTAGATTACGTTCTGAAACAGCAAGTTCATGTTTGTAGGAAAGGTGATTAAGGTACGACTTTGAACTGGGTTCCAGAGAAATCCTGAGACAATTTCAGGGATATATAAGAGCAAACTGGTTTCAAGATAATTTTAGTACTTATTATTTACCTTTTTTTTTTCTTCACTATATTAGCAATGTTTTTGCAAAAGGAACTGCAGATAAAACTATTGAGCCTTAACACAAATCAAGACCCTGGCACCAAAGTGCTTTTTTTGTAGGTATTGTATTCTTTATTATGAAATGAGAAAAGGAGGGTGTGGAGAGATGGCTCAGTGGTTAAGAGCATTTGCTGCTGTTGCAGAAGACCTGGGTTCAGTTCCCAGCGCCCACAGCTCACATGGTAGCTCACAACTGTTTATAACTCCAATTGTAGATGACCCCCTTGGGTACAAGACACACATGCAAGCAAAACATTCATATACATAAAATAAAATAATTTTTTAAAAAAATTAAATAAGATAAAAGCCCCTGATTTTTATTTACAGTTTTGCTAAGTACTGTGCTACGAATTATGGACAATGCTGTGAAAATACTATGCAATATTCTTGATTTTAATAGAATATTTTTATCCTTTATAGGAAAATTTCTTACATGCCTACAATGTATTTTTTTAATATTTATTTATTATGTATACAATATTCTGTCTGTGTGTATGTCTGAAGGCTAGAAGAGGGCACCAGACTCAACTACAGATGGTTGTGAGCCACCATGTGGTTGCTGGGAATTGAACTCAGGACCTTTGGAAGAGCAGGCAATGCTCTTAACCACTGAGCCATCTCTCCAGCCCCCTGCCTACAATGTATTTTGACCATATCTACCTCCTTTCTCTCACTTCCCTGACTCTCCCTCAACAGATTCCCCTTTCTAACTTCATGTCCTCCCTTTTAAAAAAGTTCCTTTAACCAACCTACTGAGACCAATTAGTGCTTCCCATCCACTGGGGCTTGGGCAACCTACCAGTGGCCACACCTCCAAAGAGAAATGACTCTCAAAAAACGTCAACTGCCACTAGGAGTGAGGTCTTATGAACCCCTCCCTCATCCAGTGCTGAAAAAACTTGGTCTTGTGAAGGTAACCATGCCTGTTTGTGAGTTCATGAGTGCCATGGCCATGCTAGGTCCTGAAGACTTGGTCTTCCAGCTCTTACATACTTTGCCTGCTTCTGTGATGTGTACTGCTCCTTGAAGGGAGAGCATGTTAATAGAAATATTCCATTTTGCGCTGAGTACTCAACAGTTGTTTATTCTTAGTACTTTGACCAGTTATAGGTCTCTGTATTAATCATTACAAAAATATTTCTGACCAAGCACAAATCGATAACTATAAACATTAATATTTAGAAGGCAGTTTGGCTACATGATGATTTAGCTAAACTACAATTGTATATTTACCCCTAAGGACTATCACCTCCCTAACTTTTGACCAGGTCTACAGTTCCTGTATGAATTCCCTTCTGTGGAACAGAAACAGGAAAGCCCTTTAGGTTGTTCTTGTTAACAGTCAGGCCACCTTTGCATCAGTGGGTTCTTCTTTCTTGGCATGTCAGTATTGTCCCCTGCTGATCCAACACTGATTACAACGTTTGTTGTCTGTTCTCCTCCACCCCACCCCGCTCACCTCTCTCCCCAGAGGCCTACATTGCCCTTCCCACGCTATGAAAACTAGCTAATACAGAGGTAGCTTCTGGGTCAGTTTCAGATTGATTTCTTTATGTCCTGCTAGTATGTAAATTTCTCTTTAAGAAGTTTAGATTCTGGTCTGAAGCTGTATAGCTCAGTTGGTAGAATGCTTGCCTAGTTTTTTTTGTTTTGTTTTGTTTTTATTTATTTATTTATTTATTTGCTTGCCTAGTTTGTACAGACTATCAAGTCTGTATACCTAGCTCTGCATAAAGGTGGTATATTTTCACACACCTGTAATCACAGTTTTTGGGAGGTAGAAGCAGGAGGATCAGAAATATATAGAAAGTTTGAAGCTAGCCTTGGATATATGACAACTGTCTTTTAAAAAAGAAAAAGAAAAAACAGTAGTAGTAGTAGTAGTAGTAATTGTTTAAAATTTAATAGGGAATAGGCACCCAGTAGCAAATGTGGGACTATGCTCTACACATAACCTTAGAATTGAGAGGTGTTAACGGAACCTGAAATAAATAGATGGCTAGCCATTCTGAGCAAGGAGAGTAGGATACCGAGTGTTCAGAGATGAGATCACAGTGGTGCCGGGCTCCAGTTAGGAAAGGTGTAGCCTCCTTATGGAGCAGTTGAAAGGTAAGAGAAGGAGTTTTATATTCATAAAATAGTGAATAAATAAGTGTGCCTTATATGGGGACAGTTTATATAGGTTAATGCTCTGACTAGCATTTTTTTTCTTTTGGTTTTGGTTTTTCGAGACAGGGTTTTTTCTGTGTAACTACCCTGCTTGTCCTGGAACTTGCTTTGTAGACTAGGCTAACCTTGAATTCACAGGGATCCGCCTGCCTCTGGTTCCTGAGTGCTGGGATTAAAGGCCTGGGCGGACACCACCTGACTCTGACTAGACTTTCTTAAACCTTGTCTTTATGCAGTTGGACAGCAAATTCCAATAAGGAGAAGATTTATGTTAATGTTGTTGGGCTTTCATGATATTTAATAATATATAGAATGGGATATACATTCTGATCACTTCTGGTATGCCTAATTTTTAGGTATTTTGAAAACCTATTAATTCCTTTTCTCTAAGTGTAAAATTAACTCCGAACATAACACATGTAAAAATATTTAATTGTACCACACCTTAAATGCCAGCATTAAGGAGGCATAAGCCAGGACTACATAGTAAGAACCTGTCTTTTTAGGGAAAAAAAAAATTTGGTTGCCTTTTTAGTTGCCATATTCCTAACTGGTGAGGGAATAGTGTTGTATTAATAAAAGTACCAAAATGTCTACCATAGTTTTCCAATTAATGGTCCTATTTGTAGATTTAATTTAACAATCTTTTCATGAGTAGAGAAAATATTGCATTATATGAAGTATAAGAAGTAACTTTCAAAGTATATACTTACACATCTCTTCAGATTTACAACAGTGCCTAGATTCTATGTGAATGTGAACTTAATTGTAATAATATATGACATCAAGTTTTACAAGAGGTATCTATCTTACAGGAAACTTTTGTCCAGTGATCGAAATCCACCAATTGATGACTTAATAAAATCTGGAATATTGCCTATTTTAGTTCATTGTCTTGAAAGAGATGACAAGTAAGTATATAATTATTATTTTAAATTAGACCATGTTCTTTGGAAATGGTAGGCTTTCTAGCTTAATCTTAAAAGAAAAAGATTCTTTTAAGGTAGAGGCAGGAGGGTCAGAAGTTCAAAGTGATCCTTGGCTATATACATAATGAGTTTAGGGACAATCTGGACTAGAGACACTGAATCAGAAACAAAAACCAGACATGATGATATTTGCTTATAATCTGATACCTTGAAGTTTCAGTTCAAGACCAGCCTGGGCTTTTTAGAGAGAGGTTTTCTTAGAAAGGAAGGAGGGAGGGAGGGAGGGACGGACGGACGGAGGGAGAGGTTATGGAATAGAATTGGAAGTTAAAACCATGATAAGCACCAAAAACAAATTTGAGAATGACTTGAACTTGGGAACCTGGCAAGATAAGTGCTTCAAAACTGAGGAATGACAGTAAGAATCTATTTTAGTAAAGACAGAGCTAAAACTACTAAGAAGGGCATTTGGGGCACATGTCTGAATTTCATCATGAAATGACTGGGTTATATTTTGAAGGATAGATGGATAAGTAAACTTTGGAACAACACATTAAAGAGGGAGAAAAAGGTTACTAGACATGTAGGCGAAGTGAAATGTGTGGTTTAAAATCTCTTGCTCTTTGTTCTTAGTCCTTCTTTACAGTTTGAAGCTGCATGGGCTTTGACAAACATTGCATCTGGAACATCTGAACAGACACAAGCTGTGGTTCAATCCAGTGAGTTAGTTAACAAAATTGTTATCCTGTGCTGGCCAGGCATAGTGGCACATGCTTTTAATCCCAACCCTTGAGAGGCTGACATAGAAGGATCATGAATTTGAGGCCTCATCTTTAAAAATAAATAAATTCATAGAACCTCCTAAAAGCTATATTACAGAATAATATCTACCCCTAAGACCTAGGGTTGTTGAAACAGCTCTCCTGAGTATGTTCCTTTACTTGTCTTGTTCTATGGACTGGTAAACCCATTTGCCAAAGTCCTTTTGATTTTTTTTTTTTTTGGATTCCTTTCTGTGTGATTTATATTATCCAACTAATAAGCATTTTACATCTTGCTATGTATGATACTAGTTAGAAATTACCTTAAATCCTACTAAAACTGGTTTTCTTTTGTGTGTAGAGTTAACAGGTTGAGTAGGTTTTATGGTTCTATCTATGTCATATTCTTCACAATTTTTTAACTATTTTTTGTTATGTTTTAAGTTTTTTTAACTTACTATTTTTATTTTATGTACATTGGTGTTTTGCTGGGGCCATAGTGCAGTGACAGGACATGAGGACAATGTGTATGTAGACTGCCCTAGGTTCAGTCTCTGGAGCCAGATAAACAATCGTAATTAAGCCCAGGTTTAATTGTAAATGAAATGTGGAATTTTAATTTGGAATTGTTTATATGTTAAAATTTTGATGTTACTTTTTCTCAGAAATAATTTTGCAAAGAGATGTTTTAAAATAATTTTGGTAGTTTGTATTATGTTTTGTTGGGATCTCATCTTTGTTATGTAATTTCCTCTTTCAGATGCTGTGCCACTTTTCCTAAGGCTGCTGCATTCACCACATCAGAATGTCTGTGAGCAGGCAGTGTGGGCACTGGGAAATATTATAGGTTTGTATAAAACTTAGAATGCTAATCCAGTAAGTTAGAAAATCGTGTACTAGCCAATAAAAATGACTGCTAAAAGTTGAAAAGTAATTTCTTGTCATTTAGTTTCTGTGAAATAAGCAAAGAAATTTTAATTATGTAACTATATGTGTAAAACAATAAATAAAAGGAATGTGTTTGTTGCTTAAGTTACTGTTATATCTTTTTGTTGGTAGTCTCTCTTATTGATAGGATTGTAAGATATATAAATTACTTAAATTTAGTTTTAAATTAGTGCTCACTTTATTAACTTTCTCCATTTAAGAATAACAATAGGCAAAAATTTAAACCAATAATTTTTCTCTTTATAGTACACTTGAGAAGTCTAAAATAAAACTTTACATAAGACATTAAAATTTAGTAATGTATAAAATATAACTTACTGTGAATTAACAGGAAGTATCTAATAACCTAATTAATTGTTGAACATTATAAGCACTACCCTTGCACTTATTAATAATTGTAGGGAGAATAATTAACACAATCTCAATATTTCAAGTGTTCATTTTTAATTAGAGGGTTTGGTGGGGGTGGTTAAGACAGGGTTTCTTTTTGTAGCCCTGGCTGTCCTGGAACTCACTCTGTTGACCAGGCTGGTCTTGAACTCACCTAGATCCACCTGCCTCTGCACCCTAAATGCTGGGATTAAAGGCCAGCAGTAGAGGCATTTTGTTTGTTTGTTTGTTTATGGTAATCTGGCTGACCTGGAACTCACGACCCTCCTACCTCAGCTGGAGCACACACACCCCTTCCCCACATGCTGGGATTGCAGCACTACACCTCGTCTGTTTACTGAAGGGTATAGTAACCCAAACTTTTAAATTCAAACAACTAATTCCAGCACTTTTCTCCCTAGTTCAAGGCTAGCCTATACTACATAGCAAGACCCTGTTTGAAAATGAATCAGAGAACCAATAATGGAAAAGTTCTGGGATCTTAGTTCTAGTCTATTCCTTCTATAGCTCAGAGCCCTCCGACATGGAGGATGGGGCTTGAAAATCCCTTTTTAGAGGTCTCATTACTTTGATAAGGGGGGATGCTGGGGCTGGAGAGATGGCTCAGTGGTTAAGAGCATTGCCTGCTCTTCCAAAGGTCCTGAGTTCAATTCCCAGCAACCACATGGTGGCTCACAGCCATCTGTAATGGGGTCTGGTGCCCTCTTCTGGCCTGCAGGCATACACACAGACAGAATATTGTATACATAATAAATAAATATTTTTTAAAAAAAAGGGGGGGATGCTGAAGATTGTTTTTAGATGATGATGTTTCACTGTGTGTGTGTGTGTGTGTGTGTGTGTGTGTGTGTGTTTGCATGTTTGCATATGTATTGCAGCATATATTTCCCAGGCTTACCTTGAACTCAATGTGTAGCCCAGGTTGCTTTGAATTCAGAGCAATTTTCCTGCCTTAACCTCTTTAATTCTGAGGTTATGGGTATGTGTCACCACAGTTGTTTACATGTAAGTATTTAGTATTGTTCTTATATCTCTTTATTGTCCTCTTCTAGGTCTAACATGAAAATGTTTTGATTGAGAGTTTTTGTGGGCAGCTTGTTCTGTGAACTTACTAGTATAGAGTACACTACCTTTAAAAATGATGTTGCATATCCAGGTGCCTCCCTCCTTTGCTCTTACACCAAGTTTTAGGTATAAAGCTGTTAAAGTACTTCCTAACCTTCCTGATATTGTAACCCTTTATTACAGTTCTTTGTGTTGTGGTGACCCCAACCATAAAACTATTTTATTGCTACTTCATAACTGTGATTTTGCTACTATAATGAATGATAATGTAAATATCTGATGTGCAAGATATCTGATATGTGACACCCTCCCCCAAGGGTTGAGACCTACAGGTTGAGAACTGCCCTGTTAAAGGAGCATCATATTATTTGGGATTTATTTTTAATTTCCATTTATATTTTGGAATTAATTCAAATACATCACCAATATTATAGTACAAGAAAGATTTTTTTCTTGTGGATTAGTTAGTTTTGCTTTAATAGTAGATCTAATGTAGCCTAGGCTGAATTTGAATTCATTATATAGCTAAAACAGCCTTGACTCATTCTTCTGACTCCACCTCCAACATGCTGGGATTACAAACTTGTGCCACCACACTAGACTTTAATATTGGATCATGACTATGAATTCTGCAAATATTTTCTCAATAGTTACTTTGGCATCTCCTGTATTAATTTGAAAGCTTGTTAAACTGAAAGAGTCATTGAGGTAACAGTGACAGGTGTTTGCTTGAGGTATATAGAATTCTTGAAGACAGGCAGTGGTGGAACATTGTGTCTCTGAGCTCAAAGACCGTGAGTATCTACTTTATATAACACTAAAGAGAGCTTATTAAAATACTAGAAGCCACAAATTGTACCCAGTGCTTTATGTTTTCTGAAAAGGTTTACTGTTGATTTATCTTATTAAATTAATTCTTCTACAGGTGATGGACCTCAGTGTAGAGATTATGTGATAAGCCTTGGAGTTGTAAAACCTCTGCTTTCATTCATAAGTCCGTCTATTCCTATAACATTCTTAAGAAATGTTACCTGGGTTATGGTCAATTTATGTCGCCACAAAGACCCACCGCCACCAATGGAAACAATTCAGGAGGTAAACAAAAGAAAAATACTTAGATACCATTATATGTATTTTTTACATCTATGTGTGTTTTGAATTGTACATATTTCTCTCCTCAGATTCTTCCAGCTCTTTGTGTATTAATTCATCACACAGATGTTAATGTGAGTAAATTCTCTTTGTATAATTATATATCTATGTGTATGTATGCATGTACTGGACTCCCCCTATGATATAGGAGAGAAATGAAAACAGTGTGTACTTGTATTCGCTCAAGGATCCCAAATTGGTTGTGAGGTTAAGAATTATTAAAATGGCCAAGTGTTGGCACATACCTTTAATCCCAGCACTTGTGAGGCAGGGGCAGGTCGACCTTTAAGTTTGAGGCCAGCCTGGTCTTCATAGTAAGTTCCAGGACAGCTAGAGCTATATAGAGAAACCCCCTCCCCCCCAAAAAGAAAAAATAGTAAAATGAGAAAATATTTGAAGATTTGAACTTTTATTTTAGATATTGGTAGATACTGTCTGGGCCCTCTCCTACCTTACGGATGCTGGCAATGAACAGATACAGATGGTAATAGACTCCGGAATAGTTCCTCATTTGGTTCCTCTACTCAGCCACCAGGAAGTTAAAGTTCAAGTAAGTTTGTTTTGGTTAAGATGGATTTTTCTCACCACTAAGTGATTTAAGCATGTTATTCATCTAGCACTGTAATGTCTCTTCAATGGGGAAAGGTGAGTTATTTTATCCTAACTTTAAAGTGAAGGAAATGAAACAAGAATTTATTCAGAACCTTCCTTACCCTGCCAGACAGGGAGGCTCCACTATGAACTAATTTCTAATATGGAGAAGCGGGTTTTACTGTAGCACCTCAGGTGGCACTGAAACCATCTTGTTTGCTTTTTCCGCTTTATTTTCCCCCTGAAAGCATCCATTTTTACTCATTAATGAGTTTGTTTAACATTGATTTGCTGATTCTGAGATAAAAGATTTGAACTGAAATGTGTGGGTTAAGGACTTCATAATTGTTTCTCTATTTTAGTTTTTTTTTTATTTTTAAATCCTTTGACATACTCTCTATCGCAGTGACCCTCCATCTATAACAAGCGGGAAAAGGCTATGGTGATGCACTTGGGAGGCAGAGGCAGGCAAATCTCTGTGAGTTCCAAGCCAGCCTGATCTACAGAGTGAGCATGCATGCATACATACACACACACACACACACACACACACACACACACAACTGGAACTGAGAATATAGCTCAGATGTACAGTGCTTGCCTAACTTGTGCAAAGTTCAGCTTCTAGTACCTCACATACACACAAACATAGTCAAACTACAGTAAAGGAGATAAACTAAGCCCCCCAACCTTTCTAAGGTAAATAATGAGTTTTATTCCTATAATGGCCCAGAGTCTACAGCACAATTACATAAAGAAAGCTGTTAGCCTAAGTTACTTTATCTTGCCCTTAGCTGGACATTGGAATCAACCATGAAGCTTAAAAAAAAATTTCCTTAGCCCCTGGAGATTAAAACCATTATATTTCCTACAAACTTAAGCTAGCTCTTCAAGTGATATTAGTGTGTAGTCAACAGTGGAGATGTTAAGTCCATAATGACTACATTGATTTCAGATTTCAAAGGTGCTTGAAAGATGGGTAACACGCAGGCTTGAGTCCCCAGTTCAGATTCTCACCACCCACGTAAATGCTGATGTGGTACTTGGTGCCTCTAATCCCAGCACCAAGTGGGGAAGATCCCTGTAGCCGCGTGCTCCAGGTTCAGTGAGAGACTTCGGCAAGCAACAAAAGAAAGCACTAATATTGATCTTTCAAGCTTGTGTACATGCATGCACAAACTAAATAAAATAAGAAGGGTTTCTTTTTAAAATTAAAATGCTTTCTTTAAAAAAAAGGGAAATAGCTAATTCAGCAAGATTTGACCAACAGTAATTTTTTTAAATATGTGTTTATTGTAAATATCTTTGTTACATGTCTTTATTAAATTTGCATCTGTGGGAGGGTGTACACACATGTATATGCAGCAGATATACACCCAAAGGCCAGAGGAACCCACTATACTAGGGTTACAGATGGACACATGAATCAAGTGGCTCTTTAAATCAACTGGGGGTTTGATTTAGCAAGAGCTCTCACCTACTGAGCCATCACCCCAACCTCAAAGTTACATTAGATAAGTTTGTTGGTTTTATTTTATTTTTACTTGATGTTGGGCACACTTTGCAGGTGGAGGTAGGAAGAGCACACAACTGCCCTTAGCTGCACAAGACCTATACTCACATACACCCCAAAAATTCAAGCAGAGGACTTACCTAGTTTTAATATTGACCTTAGAAATGTGGCTTGGGTTTTCCTTTTTGCCAGTTCTTAGAGAAAGTTAATGTCTTGTACTTTATCAGACAACTAACAGAGATTTTCTTAAGCTTTTCTCCTTTCATATCATAATTCTTGAAAATAAGATAGTGTGACCAGTCCTCATGTAGATTTCATCTACATCCCTTCTCCCCCTAAAATGTATACATAATTATAATCTCATGTAGCATATTGTTTCATCTATCTTACATCTTTAGAAATTAAGACTTTCTATAAGAACAGGACTGGGAGATTGCTCAGCAGCTAAGAGCACTAATTGTTCTTCCAGAGGACCCAGGTTTGATTCTGAGCACCATGTGACAGCTTATAATCATTTGTAGCTCTAGTTCCAAAGGAACTGGCCTCCTCAGATACCAAGCATACATGTGGTACACATACCTACATGCAAGCAAAACATTCACACACGTTTTAAAGGGAGAGGGTGGCAAAAGACTTGTAGTTTTCCAAGGAAGACATACAAAATGGTCATTGAGCACCTGAAAAAAAAAAGTTCAAAAACATTAATCATTAAAGAAATATTATTTGAATTGGAAAATCATTCATATTCAGAATGACTACAGTTAAAATGGTAACAATGCAGAAAAGGGGAGATTATACTGCTTATGGAAACTAGAGTATGGTTTCTTTAGAAGTGAAATGTGGAGTACATTGTGACCTAATATTTCTACTGTTCTGCATATCGAAGATTATGGATATGCATTTCCCGCACAGAAACTTAAATGTAATGTCTGTATGGTATTATTCATAATAACCCCAAAACAGAAGTAAACTGTTACTAACCACATAGCTGATTGACATGAACTTGTTCCTGCTTATGTGAAGTGTGCAGAATACACAAATTTATAGACACAGGGGTTTGGTGGTTGCCAGGGCCCTGGGATTGAAAGCAGTGTTGATGACAGTTAGTGGATGTACATGTTCTTTGTGAGATAATAAAAATGTTGTGATTTGAGGTTGAGATTGATTGTGCAGCATGGAATACTCTAATAAGTACTAAATTGCCTGTTCTTGAAAGAATAAGTTTGTGTGTTTAAGCAGCTGAATCATTTATCTTATAGGGAGAAAAATTAAGAGAAAATGAAAATTACTAATTTTTTAATGGTAGTAATTACTATCTAAAATTGCCCTTTTAGTGTTATCAGTTCTCTTGAAATAACTTAAGCTACATAAGGCCTAGAATTTTCTTACATCAGTGCCTGACATAGAGTAGGTGCTCAGAGGGGATAGGTTAGTGGCACTGAAAGATTTGTGTGAGGGCATGAACCTGTCTCAGGTTGAAAAGAGTACTTAGCATTGGACCTTTCGTTTCAGACTGCTGCACTTCGAGCTGTGGGCAACATCGTCACTGGGACTGATGAGCAGACACAAGTAGTTTTAAACTGTGATGCTCTTTCACACTTCCCAGCACTTCTCACTCATCCCAAAGAGAAAATTAATAAAGTAAGTCTTTTAAAAAGTTTGAATAAAACTGTAGTTTTTGTTTGTGGAATTAGGTTCCAAGAAATGTCTGTATAGAGTTGACTTTCATTATTTACTGTTAAAAGTTTCAAGAGAAAATATTTATTTCACCCTTTATAGGATACTCAGGGGTTCTGGATTCAAACCCAGAGCCTTTGACATGCTAAGTACATGTCTATCTACTACTGATTTATACATTTTTGGCTCTCTTGGAAATGATGAAATAGAGATACTTGGGTGTTGAATGTTGCCATGAATGGAAATTATTAATACATATAGTAGTTCTAGTTTAATGTTTCATTTATACTTAATAGTGTGAATGTGTGCGTGCGTGTGTGTGTGTGTGGTGGCTATGAAAGGGGGCACTGAACGGTGATGCTGATATTGGAGTGCATCTGAGGCTGTTGTAGAATAACGTGGGTTGTTGATTACAATACTGCCGATGATTATAACCCAAAAACAGCTCACCTAAGTAGCCCAGCACCCTAAAATCTCTAACAGGATCATTAAATGTCCTGTGATCTGATCCAAAAGAGTCTGATTATGCTAGTGTTTACAATACTAATTAATAAATTGGTGAATTTAAGTTTCGTAAATTCTAATAATATCCTCCGTAGACTGTCAAATATTTTGTTGTTGTTTATTGCTAACTTGGATTTTAGCAATGCATCTATTATCTTTGAAAGTGAAACACTTGTGATCAGTATCTTCCTAGCAGTAGCCTAGCATCTTTGTGGTTTTGAGGGCAGCATTCAGAGGTCATTAAAATAGACCAATCAAGCCAACCAACAACTGGTTCCACATTTAGCTCTTGCGAGAGCTGGTACAATGAATGATGATTATAAATGAGGACACTAAAATCTAACTTGCATTTTTGATGGTCTTCATTGTCATGACTAATTGAGATTTTTTTATTGGGATAGGACTGTTAAGGCAGACTAGAGAGAGTAGAATAAAGCACATTATTTGAGAAGTGTGTTGAATCTCATTTGCAGTAGTTTTAGGATTTACAGTTTATGACATCCTCCTTGGTATGTATTCAGCCAAGCTTCTTTTCCATTATACTGTTCCCAAACAGCATTGCCTGTTAAGATTCTTTAGAAGAGTTAGCTCATTGTGGCTTGAATTAGAAGCCAGTAGTGATTTATCCAAAGAAATGTAGAAAGAATTATTTAATGTATAAACTATATTGTTATCCAGAAAATTAAGTGTGGAGGACTAGGCATTGTAGCACACACCTTTCATTTCAGCGCTTGAGGAGAGGCAGGTGGATCTCTAGAGTTCCAGGTCAGCCAGGGCTACACAATGAGACCTTTTCTTAGAGAGACAGAGACAGAGACTGGGACAGACATAGAGCAGCTTTTAATCAACTAAAGATTCTTCTTTAATACAGAAAGGGAGTAGTAAAATTGAAATTATAAGATTTTCATTGTAGAACTCATTCAGTAATAAAATAGAGACACTAGCCAGTGAATACTTTTTCATAGTTCAGACATAGGTTTTATTCTTTTAGTGAGAAATATTAAAATCATCTTGTTCCACAGGAAGCAGTGTGGTTCCTGTCTAACATCACTGCAGGAAATCAGCAGCAGGTTCAGGCAGTAATTGATGCCAATCTTGTACCAATGATAATACATCTTTTGGATAAGGTAAGAAAATCGTGTGTACCTGAGCAAGGCGGTATCATAATAAATACTTCCCCATTTAACAGGACACTACACAATGTGTAATACTACTATAAAATACGACTGATTCTAAAACTTTTGAATAATATTGTGTAGAACAAATGTTTCTTGTCATTTCTTGCCCAAGATAGCCATTGCTTTGGAATTAACTTTAAACAAATGGTATCATTACCAGTAATCAGTGCAGTCATTATTGTTCTAAGCATTTTGCGAATATTACCTCTTTTAATATGACAAGCCGAACCAGCAAGATTGCTCAATAGGTAGAGGTAACTGCCAGTGAACCGGGTGTCCTGAGGTTTATTCCTGGGACCCAGGTAGAGAAAGGAAAGGAAGAACCTCCTCCCCACAGATTGTCCAGCACAAGGGTTATCTCCACTTGGCAGGTGAAATGATTGCATGAGCAAATCACTTACCCAAAATACAGGGGCCAGTGAGTGTGCTATTGTGTAGCATATCATTCCTTACACTCACTGAGATTTGGAGAAAATACTATTTTGCTTTCAGATAGTTATTGATTATTGTTTTGATTCCTTATTTAAAGAGTGACAAAATGGTGACTTTCCAATTCGCCCATTCTGCGTGTATTATCACTTTTTTTTTCAGCTTTTCTCTTTTTTTTTAATTAAAATATAATTACATCATCTTTCCTCCCTTCCAACGTTCCATGTCCTCTCCAATTCCTCCTGTGCCTCTTGACCACTATCACAAATTGATGACCTCTTTATTATTGTTACATATATAAATGCATAAATATATAAATTCAGAATGTGGAATCCATTTTTGTTGTTTGTGTATATACATTTAAGAGCTGACCATTTTATATTTGAAAGCTAATTAGGAGGGTCATTTCTGCAATAGGCTAATTTTCTGTCTCTAGCAGTCTTAATGACCTGCAGCTCTTTGTCTAGGGGTGAGACCCCGTGAGCTGTCTACCTTTGACATTAATATAACTTGATAGAGGTATTATTTAGGGTATATTCAGGCTGCCATAGTGTTGAGGTTTCATGGGCACAGCTTTCCTGTCATCTCTAGGAGACATAATTTCACAGCTGTCTTTCTGGTTCTCTGGCTTTTATAGTCTTTCTAACCCTAACTTCCATGATGTTCCTTGAACCTTAAGTGCAGGGGTTGTGTGAAGCTAACACCCATCTATTATTGATCTCTGTGTTATGACCAGTTGTGGTTTTCTGTGATGCTCTCCGTTTGCTGTGAAGAGAGGCTTCATTGATTAGGGATTTCTACACCTGTGGGTGTAAAAACAGGATTTAGAATATAATTAGAATTGTGTTGGTTTAGTAAAGTGGCAGTAGTAAGTTCTCTGTTAAGATTCATGACCTCACTGGTCCTGGGTAGTGGGCTAGGTTCCCTTTTTTCTTCTCTCCTCTCCTCTCCTCCCCTCCCCCCCCCCCACCCCTTCTATTCTCCTCTCTTCTCTTTTCTTCTTCTTGAGACAGGGTTTCTCTTTGTAACAGTCTTACCTGTCCTGGAACTCACTCTGTAGACCAGGCTGGCCTTGAACTCCACCTGCCTCTGCCTCCTGAGTGCTAGGAGTAAAGGCATGCACCACCAGGCTAGGTTTCTAGTTTCAAGGATGATTTCTTCCCGTTAGCAGCCCTAAGTATAATTGGATAGCTGCTGGTTACTGCCAACATATAAGTACCATTATTGCACATTTAGGGAGCTCTTACCAGGCTAGTTATGGTTCATAGGCATCACATGGCTGGTTAGGACTGTTGATTGCTTCCTTCTCTTGGAAGCTTTTATACTCTCTAGTACTATGGAAGCTAAAGCACAGGAAAGGAAGCATTCAGGTTAGATCCAGCTTAAAACTTCCTAGTCTTGTATCCTAAGTGTAAGGTGTAATCAGAAATAGTGACTTACCTTCAACCAAAGGTAACAGCAATAGCCTCTATTGTTTAGGAATCTCTTGAACCCCTATGACCTACAACTCAGACAGAGGTTTCTCATGCCAGGTACTGGGGGTTTTGCTAAATAGTTTATGGCTCTTTCTTGAGCATTGCTGGTCCACGTGCTATAACCGTAATTAAGCTCTATATGTGTGTGTGTATATTTATATAAGTCTAAATACATAGCTGTATATATGTATTATGTAATTTTAAATAAATCTAAAATAATATGATTTTCTTGAGGCTTTATTAAACTACCTTAGTGCTATTTGTCCTTGTTCCCTAATTGCTTCTCCTTCTGTAATGAAGTCCTTACTCCCCAGTTTTCCCATTTCCCCTGTTACTCTCCTCTCATCCCCTGTCCCAGCGCCTTTATAATTTCCTGGTTACTCCATGTTGTATACTCACATCTGAAGATTTGGAATAGGAACTTCAGATGAGAGAGAACATATGGCTTTTGTCTTTCTGGGTCTGGGTTACCTCATTTAACATATTTTCTAGTTTTATCCACTTATCTGCAAAGTTTATGATTTCATTTTTCTTTACAGCTGCATAAAATTCCATAGTATATGTATACCACATTTCATTATCCATTCGTCTGTTGAAGTACATTTAGGTTGTTTCCATTTATTGTGAATAGAGTATCAGTGAACAGGTGAGCAAGTATCTGTGGAGGAGGATGTCAAGTTTTTTGGGCTTATGACTACAAGTGTTATAGCTGAGAATTATGCTAGATTTATCTTTAGCTTTTTGAGGGTTGTCTGTAGTGTTTCCAGAGTGACTGCCCCGGTTTGCATTTCTGTCAGTGAATGAGGGCTCCTTCTTCCCTAGTCCTCCCCAGTTGTTTTGTTGTTTTTAACCACTCTGACTGGGATGAGATGAAATCTTTTTTTGGTTTTTCGAGACAGTTTCTCTATGTAACAGTCCTCGCTGTCTTGGAACTCACTTTGTAGACCAGGCTGGCCTCGAATTCATTGAGATCCACCTACCTCTGCCTCCCAAGTGCTGAGATTAAAGGCCTGTGCCACCACCTCCTGGCCTGAAATGAAATCTCAAAGTTACTTTAACTTACGTTTCCATAATCGGTAAAGATAGTGAATATATTTTGAGGTATTTCTTAGCCATCTTCATTTCTTCTATTGTGAACTCTGTTCAGACCCCTACCTGTTCTTAATTGGGACATTTTTTTTTTCTAGACTTAGTTATGTTTTTTTGGTTGCTAGGTTTTTGTTTATTTGAAGTTTTTGTTTTAGTTCTTTGCTCATTCTGGATATTAATCCTCTGTCAGATATATTGCTGGCAAAAGTGGGTTTCTTGTTTCCTCTGCTATATAGAAGCTTTTTAATTTTGTTAGGTCCCATTTGTCAGTTGTTGGCTTGAATTCCTGAGCAAATGGAATCCTATTTAGAAATCCCAGCACTCGGGAGGCAGAGGCAGGCGGATCTCTGTGAGTTCGAGACCAGCCTGGTCTACAGAGCTAGTTCCAGGACAGGCTCCAAAGCCACAGAGAAACCCTGTCTCGAAAAAACCAAAAAAAAAAAAGAAATTCCTTTTCTACACCTAAACGTTGTAGGGTACTGTCTATATTTTCTTGTAGCAGTTTTAGCATTTCACGTTGCAAATTGAAGTCTTTGATCCACTTGGAGTTAGTTTTTGTGCAGGGTGATAGATAATGGGTCTATTACATTCTGCTGCATGTAGACCCCTGGTTTTCTAGCACCACTGTTGAAGATGCTATCTTTTCTCCAGTGTTTTTAGCATCTTTGTCAGTGTCAGATGCCTGTAACTATATGTGCTCTTATGTGGGTCTTCTCTTTGATTCCATTGATTTACATGTCTGTTTTTGTGCTGGCACCATATTATTTTTCTTCCTATATCTCTGTAATGTATCTTGAAGTCTGGAATAGCAATCTACCAAATATTGTTCTTTTTGCCCTAGTTTGCTTTGGCTGACTGGGATTTATTATGGATCCATATGAATTTTAGGATTTTCTTTCCTATTTATGTGAAGAATGTTCTGAGTATTTTTGTTTGTTTGTTTTGGTCTTTTTGAGACAGGGGCTCACTTTGTAGCTCTAGCTGTCCTGGAACTCACTGATGTAGATCAGGCTGGCCTCAAACTCACTGAGATCTGCCTGCCTCTGCCTCCTGAGTGCTGGAACTAAAGACATATACCACTATATTTCTGGCTCGTTCTGGATTTGATTTTGTTTTTAAGATTTATTATTTATTATGTATACAGTATTCTGCCCACATATATGCCTGCAGGCCGGAAGAGAGCACTAGATCTCATTACAGATGGTTGTGAGCCACCATGTGGTTGCTGGGAATTGAACTTCTTCAGTCATTCAGTGATGAATTGTTTAATCCCCATGCATTTATGCACTTAATAGAGATTTATTTGCTTTAGATTCTGTTTTATTTCATAATGCTCAGACTTGCTTTGTGTCTGTGGGTACAGTCTATTTTAGGGGAGCTTTTGTGGGCTGTTGATAATGTATCGAGAAACTTCACTCTGAAGTTCCTCTTTTTTTTATCCAGATGTCATATCTATTGGAGAAAGTAGGAGAAATCTATAGTACTAGAAAATACTTAGTAGTATTATTGGGTTGATGTTAATCTGTCTCTTTAATTCCGGTAGTATGCTTTCTGTGGTACATGTATGTTTTGGAAAGTAATGTCATGTTGGTTAGTTGTCCCCTTGATTCAGTGAAAGTGCCCTCTTTGTCTCTTCTGATTAGTTTCGGTCTGAGATAATAGAATGGCAGCACCTATTTGCTTCCTAACGCCCTTTGTTTGGGAGACCTTTTACATCCTTTGTTTTTAGGGTAGTACCTATCTTTAGAGCTAAGTTTTTTGTAGACAACAGAATGAGAGATTTAGTTTCTTATTCCATTCACCTAGCCTATTGATTGATAGTTAATCAACCTATTATTGATGGCATTTAAGTTGTTTCTGAATTTCACTGTTAAAATTAGTGGCATTTTAAAGAATAGCTTGTGAGTCGTGGTAGCGTCACCGTGATACTCTAAAGGCAGACACAGTCCAGTATGGAGTTTGAGGCTAGCCTGTGCTAGCTATGGAGACCCTGGTTTTTCCCAGGTTATATTTAGCATAACTGGATAAATAGGAAATGTTTCTGCATAATTCCCTTTTGCCTCTGCAAGATTGTACCCATTTGTACCCTTACCTGCATCATAGATAGTTACATTTCCTTGTGTCTCGTTTCCATTCTAATTTAGGTTGCTCTTGTTTATGAATATTTTTCTTTTAATATTTATTTATTTATTTATTATGTATACAATATTCTGTCTGTGTGTATGTCTGAAGGCCAGAAGAGGGCACCAGACCCCATTACAGATAGTTGTGAGCCACCATGTGGTTGCTGGGAATTGAACTCAGGACCTTTGGAAGAGCAGGCAATGCTCTTAACCTCTGAGCCATCTCTCCAGCCCAATGAATATTTTTCTTAATATAACATTGTTTCCAGGCATGTAGTCTTGATTTTTAATGGCTTGGGTTATTATTTGATTTTGAAAATTTACTGTATTATGTACCTGCTGAGTGTGTTAACTGAGTCTGCTTTTTGTCTATTACTGTGCTATAGCCATTTGTAGGGAAATGTACGTTATTAAATTATTTTTCTGGTAAAATCTCCAAGATGAGATTATTGAATTCTACATGTGCCTTTTTAAATGTTTTCAGTTTGTATTTGTTTAATGAAATTGCATTAGACTTTTATTTACTCTGATTTTGAATCGTGATATTGTCATATCCCCCAACCTAGAGAATTCATAGAAAATAATTTTTATTTCTTCAGAATAGATTGATTGTGGTTTAAGACTTACCAGTAAATAAAAATTATACATATATAAACATACCAGAGAAACTTGGAAATAAACAATTGAAAATCATTTTAGAAAATGTCTTTTCAAATTTACCATGTATTCTTTTTTTTTTTTTTTAAGGGAGATTTTGGCACCCAGAAAGAAGCTGCTTGGGCCATAAGTAACTTAACAATTAGTGGGAGGAAGGACCAAGTAAGTTGAACTTTTATTTCTCAAAACCAGTAAAAATAACAGTATGGGTAATTATATCTTTATATTTAAGTGAGTAGAATACCATATTTTGTAGATTGGATTTGGTTTTAGGCTGTGTGTGAGCTATGTGTGCATGTGTTCATGCACATCACACATGCCAGAGATTGAGCCCATGTGCTCAGCCTGTATTCTGCCATTGAGATGGATACAGCTCTGCGATTTTGTTTCTTAATATATACATAAAAGTATCTTCTTAACTTCCTTTACTCATTTTTCTTAGGAAAGACTCGATTTTTTAGTGGTTACAGTGCTAGGCATTGAGCCTAGACCTTTATGAATACCAGGCAAAGTGTTACCCACTAAATCAAATTTCTAGACTCCATGCAAGAATTTTCTAATCTGGAATAAGATCAAGACTCCTACAATGAGGGAACTTTTTTAAAAACAGTATTGAGAGATAACAGGCTTTTAAAATTAATATGACAGAAAGAAATCACATTAGAGATTCTCCTTAAAAATGAATAACTGCAAACAAATTCACTAATAAAAAAACAAAGGAGAAATTAAACTCAGTCACGTAATTGGGACTGGGAAGCAGGGTGAAGAACACTAGGGCAGAGGTATTAGAGTAAGTGGCGGAGCTTAGCAGTGTGCGCATATGCGGAGCAACACTGGCACTGACGATCTCTGCTCATCCAGAAAATAATAATAATAAAGATAAAGAGCCAAGTGGCAGCTGATAACTTTTTTACATATAATTTATTTAACTTTAGTTTATGTGGATTGGTGTCAGATAGTTGTTAGCTGTCATGTGGGTGCTGAGAATTGAACCTGGGTCCTCTTGAGGAACAGCCAGGGCTCTTAACCGCTAAGCCCATCTCTCCAGCCCCCTAATAATGCTTTTTTTTTTTTTTTTTTTTTTTTTTTTGGGTTTTTCAAGACAGGATTTCTCTGTGGCTTTGGAGCCTGTCCTGGAACTAGCTCTGTAGACCAGGCTGGTCTCGAACTCACAGAGATCCACCTGCCTCTGCCTCCCGAGTGCTGGGATTAAAGGCGTGCGCCACCATCGCCCGGCCTAATAATGCATTTTTTAAAAAACTCAATTTAAATGCAAACATGGGACTGTGGAGATAGCTTTGTGGGTAAGAACACTTGCTACACAGCATGAGGACCTGATTTCAGTACCCCAGTACCCATGTAAAAAGCCAGGTATTGCTGCTTTCACCGTTATTCCAGCACTGTGGACAGGGGAGGCAGGAGGATCTTCCAGCTTTGGTGAGAAATGTTGAGCTCCAAGTTTACTGAGGACCCTGTCCCAAGGGATTGAAGAGTAGGGTGATAAGTTAGTACACCTGGTGTTTTCCTCTATTGCCTTGAAAAATAGCCTCTTAATCTTGCTTCAGAATGCTAAAACAGCACAACGTGGGGCCAGTAGATACTGTTACTAGAGTAATCATAGTATTTAAAAAAATATCAGTCATCCTCTTGGCTGATTCAGTAATGTTTTAAGAGGCAAAGGATCTTGGGTAAAAGTGGCTTTATAGTAAAGAATATTGTATAATATGGAGTTGAGTTTTTCCTGTTTCACTCTAGTCATTCCCTGCGTGTGTGCACACACACACAAATTTTCAGGAAAATAAACTTGCCGCATTAAAAAGAAGTTAGTTGATTAATAATGTAATCTAGCTAACATGGGAGAGATGTGTTCATGTTTTCATACTCAGAGTTTGGAGTCAACCTTATTTTAGTTTAAAAAAAACCAGCTGACCTTTATTTTATCATTTCATGGTATCCTTATTTTTCAGGTGGCCTACCTTATCCAACAAAATGTTATTCCACCTTTCTGCAATTTGCTGACTGTAAAAGATGCACAAGTTGTGCAAGTAGTGCTTGATGGACTAAGTAATATATTAAAAATGGCTGAAGATGAGGCGGAAACCATAGCCAATCTCATAGAGGAGTGTGGTGGTACGTTTATTATGAGGTGTTAATATACACGTTAGTGGTTTGGGTTTTTTTTTGTAACTACATTTATTTTCTGAGTAATATAGCCCTTCTGTATTTTTCTGTCATAGATAATGGAGTAACAATAAAGTATACCATACTCCATACATACATTCAGCCCTGTTTAACCCTCTGTATATTCTTAGGTAACTGAATTGTTGCCATGTAGTGAAGGCACCCTGCTAAGTTAGTAGGAAGACAGTGATAAACAAAACAGCCCCTCAAGGCATGTAGTTTAGACTTACATAGAAATATGAACTGATTTAATGTGCTAATTACCCTAATAGAAATGTCCAACAAAATGGGACGAGTAACTGCCCTTCGTTGCAGCAGTTCTAGAATGACTTCTGTAAAGCAGATGAGTAAATCCTGCCTAAGATCTAATGAGCATTCTAAGGGTCAGTTTTCCTTCCCCTGAGATACTCTGCTTGACCAGATTGTTTTCAGTGAGTGTCATAGAATAATTGTATTTATTGCCAGGATCTTCAGGTTTTTTTCATACGTATTAACTCAGAAAAGGCTGGGCAGATGCTAGAAAGGGGAGAATGTGCTTATCTATGTTTAATAATCAAAAATAATTTTGCGTTATTTTTGTGAACACTGGAGCTATAATTTACTTATTTGCTACATTATTAATTTACACATTTGCATGCTGTTGCTCAGATTGTTAGTCTTTTTAAAGTAAATGTATTCTTTATGAAATCTTAGTTAGGATTCATCAGTGCAGTAGGTGCCAAAGACATAACCCAGCAATTTTAGAGTATGAAGATTGTATTATGTGTTTCAAAGTTATTGTAACTTCTACATATTAATTACCATTGTTCATTTCATAAATTTCTGACAGGACTGGAGAAAATTGAACAACTTCAGAATCATGAAAATGAAGACATCTACAAATTGGCCTATGAGATCATTGACCAGTTCTTCTCTTCAGACGATGTACTTATACATAATATGTTTATAGTTTCCTGTGCTAAGCAAGTGTGGATGACAGAGTACAGAAAACTAGGATGTATACATGTGTATAATTTTATGCAATACAGCTAACATAGATGTGATAGTAATGGTACTTTTTTTTTTAATTTATTTATTTATTAAGGATTTCTGCCTCCTCCCGGCCACTGCCTCCCATTGCCCTCCCCCTCCCCCTGTTAAGTCCCCCTCCCTCATCAGCTCGAAGAGCAATCAGGGTTCCCTAATGGTACTTTTTTGAAAACAAATTTTGGTATTTTTTTAAATTCTTTTAAGATATTAACTCAATAACAAAAAGATAAGAAATTTTGTTATACTAGATAAGCTCATTTCTAGTGCTCATACTATTGTTGCTGTTTTGTTGTTGTTTTTCTTTTTGGTTTCTCTGTAGCCCTGGTTGTCCTAGAACATGCTCTGTAGTATAGACTAGACTGGCCTTGAACTTATTAAAAAGATCAGCATCCCTCTGCCTCCCCTGGTCTGGGATTAAGTGCACGTGCTACTACTGCCCAGCTAAGTTCTCATACTTTTAAATTGGCAATAATAACATGTCTGTAAACAAAACAAAAAACAGTGGCACTAAGTGTGATGGTGCTCAACTATAACCCACTGTTTACAAAGCTAATGCAGGAGAAGGACCAGGAGTTGGAGACTGTCTTTGGCTTCGTAGTGAATTCAAGGTCTTCCAGGGCTACGTGAGACCGGTCTAAAAAAAAAAAAGAATGAAAGAAAGAAAGAAAGAGAAAAAAAAGAAAAGTCAAAAAATAAGCAAGCAGCCGGGCGGTGGTGGTGCATGCCTTTAGTCCCAGCACTCAAGAGGCAGATGCAGGCGGATCTCTGAGTGTGATGCCTGCCTGGTCTACAAGAGCTAGTTCCAGGACAGACCCTAAAGCTATAGAGAAACCTTGTTTTGGGGGAAAAGTAAGAAGTTTAAAAAACAAAAAAAAAACAAGCAAGCAAAACTACTAATAGTAGTATAACCTGCAATAAACCCTTTGTGACTTAATTAGTCCATATTTTCAAATGTCATTTTTTTATTGCTGGTTAAAAGCAAATCAGGTAGAGACAAGATGAGCATAATAAATCCTCAAAATATAAGGTATTATGCAATATATGGAACAGTACACAAAAATATATTTAGAGTTTCACTAACTAGTAGTTAAAATTAAAGAGTTGTTTATTTGTTTGGGTTTTGTTAGAAAATGTTTTGCTATATGTGCCTGGCTGTCCTTGAACTATATGCAGTCTCCCTACTTAGCCTTCCAAGTGCTCAGGCTGTAAGACATGTTACCACTACACTGTATGTGAATTTTTTCCCCAACTTTTCAAGAAATAAATTTTGGGGCTGGAGAGATGGCTCAGGGGGTTAAGAGCAGTAGCTCCTTGTGCAGAGGACCCAGGTTCAACTCCCAGCTCCCACTTAGTGACTCAACCATCTGTAACTCCAGTTCCAGAGCACTGGCACCTAGTTCTGGACTCCATGCTAAGCACACACATGTGGTTCACAAACATACATTCAGGCTAAATACCCATGCATATAACATAAGGTGGAGTGTTTTAGTTTAGTTTAGTTTTTTTTTTTTAAACAAAAACTAAGTTTCATACCACATTTCACATTACCAAAAAGAGTAACGTATTAGAGAAAGAAAACCATAAGTCAGGGGCTGGAGAGATGGCTCAGAGGTTAAGAGCATTGCCTGCTCTTCCAAAGGTCCTGAGTTCAATTCCCAGCAACCACATGGTGGCTCACAACCATCTGTAGTTGAGTCTGGTGCTCTCTTCTGGCCTTCAGACATACACACAGACAGAATATTGTATATATGATAGATAAATAAATAAATAAATAAATAAATATTAAAAAAAAGAAAACCATAAGCCACTAGAAATGTCCTCACTAGGACGAGCAAGTTGGCTCTTAGGGGAAAGACTGACAGTCTGAATTCAGTCCCTGAATCAGCCTACATGACAGAAAGAAAGCACTAACTCTCCCAGTTGTACTCTGACCTCCACGTGTGTACCATTTGGCAAATAACCCCACACGCATACACATACACACAATGAACAAGTGATTAAATAAATACACAAGTATAGGAAGACAGGCTGGAGAGTTCACTCAGAGAGCACTTACTCTTAGAGCGAACCCAGCACCCACATGATAATCTAAACAAATAGAGAAATAGAAAGAGAAATGCCCACACTAAATCCTATTTAAATATGAAGTTAAATACATCAGAAAAAAATCCAGACAAAGCATATTCCTCAAGGATAAATAGCTGTAATCATGTTTTTGGGTTTTTTTGTTTTGTTTTGTTTTGTAGGCAGATTCTCTTTGTGTAGACCAGGCTGGCCTCAGACTCTCAGAGATCCACCTACCTCTGCCTTCCAAGTGCTGGGATTAAAGGCGTGCACTGCCACCCAGCTAATTGTGTCTTAAAATTGAAAGTTTGGAAGTCTCAATTTGTAATTAGGAAAACATAGCCATAGCTTGTACATTCCAAAACTATAATAAGACTTTCTGCTAATGTAGGTTGGTTTGTTTGAGGTTTTTGGTTCTAGTTTTTGAGCCATGAGTCTTTCTTACTTTGTGGCACTGGTTGTCCTAGAACTCACTATGTAGATGAAGCAGAAATTGTACAGTAATCCTTCTGCCTTCCCTTCCAAGTGCTAAGGTCACAGACTGTGCCACCATGCCTGAAACTTTTCATTTTTTTAATTTAATGCCAGTACCTTTGCTTTCCTAAGTACGAGAGAAATTACATTAAGTACCACCATTTACCCTTTCAGTTTGGAATCTGAGGTTATTTCCAGTTTACTATTCTGTAAGGTTTCTATCATGTATATTCTTATTTTCTTCAGTTTTTATATACCTTAAAGCTAATCATCACATTAATTTTTTTTTGTCTTTTCCTTCAGATTGATGAAGATCCTAGCCTTGTTCCAGAGGCAGTTCAAGGTGGAACATTTGGTTTCAATTCATCTGCCAATGTACCAACTGAGGGGTTCCAGTTTTAGAAAGATATTGTGGAAGCTAGGTACAATGCAGCACTGAGACATATATATATATACACATATATATAAAAAGGTTTGATCCATCAAGCTTGGCTCATGGGATCTGCTGCTGCATTAAATCGGGAGAGAAAATGTGAAGATTTCATTTGGAATCGCAGAATATGCCCAAGTGAGGTCAAGGTGGCGAGTGGGTGCGAGTGAGAATGAGTGGCAATGTAAGGAAAGTTGACGTGAGTGCTTATTTAGGGTGAAAGTAAAGGGGCTGCAGGTCACAGGTATTGGTGCCTGAGAAGGAGCATTGACTCCCTCTGTCAGTGGAGGGAAGTGAAGTGCTGTCGTCATCAAGCCTTGTAAGCATGAAAGCGATGCCCATGGAAGTCAAGGGAAATGAGCCCAGGCTTGCTGAGAAGCAGTGTGAGTGGACAGTGGTGAGTGAGTGTCTGGCTCTGTGGTAGAGAGCCAGGTTCATCTTTCCAATCTAGGGCTCTTCACGCATGCCGTGGACTCCTAGTCCTGGAGTGACTGTGTAGAGAGTGTGGTTGTGGTGCTGTATGTGGACGCATGCAAGCTTGATTCGCCTTCAGGGGGCTGATAACAAACCTAGTAGATCATCAAAGTGAGATCACAAGTGTTAATGTACACTGGACATGAAAACAAAGACCGGTTTAGCAGCAGACATTGGTTTACTCTGCAGCCTGTGTTTTCTATTCTCCCTCTACCTTCCCCCTCTCCCCCTTCTTTTTTAATTTAGTTTTTATTTACCTAGTATGGCTTTTTTAGTTGCTTCTCAAGTCAGAAAACTTCAGGAAGGTTTCCCTGTGCATTTGCACCAGATGAGTGTTTGATGCTATGAAAAGCTTTCCATATCATCAAAGCTAATTTGTGTAGATTTTTGCATGAAAAAAAATCATAAATTTCCCTCACAGTAGACTGTGTTGCAGTACACAAGTTGCCATAATAGTATAAAATGTGCTTTAAAAGCCATTCTTTTCATTTTCAGAGATGACATAAAGATCTTTGCATGAGGTAAATCTACAGCATAGTTCATTTTTAGATTTTGTTGAGTCCTGTAAAGAAGAGAAGTTTCAGTTGTGATAGAATACCGTGCTGTGTTGAAATGTTAACTTGTTTTCAGACTTTGTTTTCTATGAAAATGATATGGAAGCTTCTGAAATGGAATTTGGTGCATATGTACTGCTGAATAAAGACCGATGAAGGGGTTTGAGTAGATGTACAAATCAAGTAATGGTTTGAACACCTTCAATAATATGCCTAATCTGTTGAATTGTTTTAGAATCTTTTTATCTTAGATGTAGGCAGCCATGAACAATCTATTTTGAGCCACTTTAGGGAGAAAACTTTGTATTTTTAAAACTTGCATAAAAGTTATGCAAGTGGTTTTTATAAATTGGAATAATACCTCAGTTGTGAGGTTACGCACACTAAATTAAATATGTCATAAATTAATTTGTACAAAAGGAACTCTTTATAAGGTGGCTCATTGTAGGAACTCCTGTGCCTTCCCCTTGAGCACAAGTGTTGCATGAACAACAGTTTGCTATAGGAAACACACCAGGTTAGCCACCATTAGCATCTCTATCTACTTTGTGTTTAAAAATCAACTGCTAATTCTGAAACACTGTAGAATGGATAAAAATTATTTTGTGATCATAACTCTTTGTTGAACTAGAGTATTTTTGCAGCATTCCTTGTCATCAAAAACATGGTTAAAGTTTAAAACTAGAAGCAGCAGAAAACTAGCTTGTAAAATTTATCCAAGTAGAATACAGGCTAGGCTGTCTTGGGGAAATAAACATTAAAACTTAAAGCAATGTTTTACATGGGGTGTATGTGTGATGTGTGGATTTCTTTTTCTATCTAATATTAAGTTAGAGCATACCTCAGTGGCTTCTGTTAGCTTCTTGTCTGTCTTAAGCCTTTTTCTAGAACCAGCATAAGACATCATAAAAGCTGTAACTTGGTTCTGGGCATGTTAGTATTGCATTTGTGCAGTTGACACCATCTACACTTGCACCTTCTCCCAGTTGACACCAAGGTTTTGACGTTTCTTCACTTTCCCAAGTCGGTAGGATTAAGAAACAGCTTGAGCTATATTTTAAATACTGTCGTAGCCAACATGTAGCTCCAAATGATAGATTGCATACAAGGCCTATTTATTGCAGAAAGTGTGGATTCTGGGAAGGTGAGCATATACTCCCTTATATGATTACTATTTTTTAATTAAACAGTAATCAGTGAGCTTGTAATAGGTACCTCTATATAAAGAATTCTGGCAGGTAGCTTAGCATGATGTCATATGCCTGTGATCCTAGCTCTCAGAAAGCTGAGGCAGGAGAGTCACCTCATTCAAATACAGCCTTGGTTATATTGTCATGAGACCCTGCTTCAGGAATTAAAACAAATGTGTGGGAACAATATTCACATCTTTAAGGGCTACCTGAATGTCTAAATACTTGTTTCTAACTATGATCACTATGGGACATTGATTTTTTTTTCTATAATTCTAAGGTGTGCTTTTCTATATCTAAAATGTGTCCCAAATAACACAACTTTTTTAAAATTCTTCAGTGACCTAGGAAACTGAATTTTAACAAAAACCATTATATCTGATAAGGGGGAAATAGGGTAATAAGTCTAATAAGCTAACTGTTATTATATTTCATGTTCTTAAACTGCCATGTTTAACACCAAGCCCTTCTCAAGTGCTTCAAAAATAAAAATACTGTGTTAAGATGTGTGAGTAGACCTTGTCTAGAATATACTGTTCATAGTGGACCATGGTGGTGCATGCCGCTAATCCAGCAGAGGCAGGTGGAGGATCTCTAGAGGCCAGCCTGGTGTAAAGAATGAGTTCAAGATAGTCAGGACTACACAGAGAAATCCTGCCTCAATTTCATTTATGTTTCATTTTGTAATTTTGAAAGGCATCAGTAGCCATGTGGTATGGTGGAACTGGTATTTTCCACATTGTGCTAGGCCAAATTTAAAGCATTTCTATATGTGGAACTATCTGCACATCATTAAAATGTACCTGGGAGGGTCTAGTTAGGTTTACCTTGACTATACTTCATAGGATGAAGGTGCGTTTGTTGTAACATCAGTATAACTTACAGAACACTTTTCCAATTCTGTTGTTCAGCTTCAACAAAAAGTTAGAAATAAATGAAGTTTTGTCTTTTAAGACTAATAACTAATTACCTCACGTTTGTTGCCCTAGAACATGACATGTGTTTGTTGTTTCACAGTTTCTGTAAGTCAGGAATCTAGTTAAAGTTTGACTAGATCCTCTACTCAGGGCCTTACAAGGCTACCGTTTTATCTGAAGTGGAGGCTCTTGCTCTCTGCGCTTGTGCAACACAATCCTTTCCTGGCCACTTGTTTCTTCAAGACTACCAGGAAACATTGGGATCTCAGGGGAGGCCGGTGCCCTCTTTTAAAGGGCTGGCTTGGTGAGGTTAGGTCCCTCATACCCCAGGTTAAGTTCCCTTTGATTAAACTTCAAGCTAAATAGGTACACTTATTACAGTTGCAAAATCCTTTTCCATTTGGTGCACTCTGGTCCATTCCAGAAGGAGTCGTCTGTTAGATTGGCAGGTCCTGTCCTCTGTGTGTACATATGCCAGATAGTGTTGGGGGCCGTTGTACTTTGTACACGTCACGAAACTACCAAATACCAGAATTGGGATAATTTAAAAATGATTACTCCCACACAGTATAAGCTAAGGTTCTCATTAAGATTACCTGTAAGAACCCATCAAAACTTCTAGTTTAGTTTACCCTCAAAGTACATATACATGCAGTTTACATGTAGTGGTGTTGAAATTAGGAGTTCCTAAATTACAGAATAAATTGATCTGTCCTAACCCTCTTAGACTTAGAGTTATGAAAAGAGGATTAGTCCAAAGTTACATGTTAAGGACTAAGTTAAGGCCTAGACTTTTACTTCCACTGTCATGTAATGTTTTCAGTTATTTAAATTTGTAAACCACTGCAAGAAAAAAAGTTTATGCAAATAAGCACTCATCTTTAATCAAACCTTTTTAATGTGTAAAATTTATTTTTAAATTATTGCTATATTAGAATCCTAAATATCTGCGTGCTCTTACACCTTTTTTACTTGGTTTCTTATTGGCAAGATTTATTATATGTCACCCAATAATTTAATATTAGAAAATCCAGGTAGCTATTCAGTATCCAAATACTTTACTAGCAAATCCATGCCTAAAAATTTGAACACTTTAATGTTAAGCTTCTTAAATGACCCATTACTAAAATATGTTCTTTTTAGGGCTGAGGATACAGTTCAGTTTTATGACACTTGCCTGGAATGTGAGGAGCCTTGGATATTATCCTAGCACTGCAAATATATGTACGAGAGAAAGGCTGTGTGTGGGTGTGTGTTTACATGAGTAGTCATGTGTGCTTTATTTAAAATACATAGGTAAATGTTGCACAGGTGTCTAGATCACAGTGCACATTGGAGGCAATGATGCAACCTTTTTTAAAAACGAGTTCTTACTATGTTGCTGAGCCGAGTCTCTGTCTCCTTTCTCCGCTCATAACCATCTTCATGCCTCAGCCTTCATGGAAGATGAGCTCACAGGCACATGCCACTGCGTTTCCTGTGTAGTGCACATTAACTCATTAGTAAAGAATGCTGTAGCTGTGCCGTGATGGCGCACCCCTTTAATCCCAGCACTCGAGAGGCAGGGGAAGAGTTCGAGGCCAGCCTGGTCTACAGAGGGAGTTCCAGGATAGGTTCCAAAGCTACAGAGAAACCCTGTCTCGAAAAACCAAAAAAAGGGGGGTGGGGGGAAGAATGCTGTATAACCGAGCACTGTGATCAGAAGTAGTTGTCTACTGAACTTTTTTTTTATTATTATTAAATATTGCATTAGTCATGGAAAAAATAGAATTAACAGGTTTTCCCCTGGAGACTTAACCTAGAAATTTCATTAAACTTGAATAGTTATAAAAAAACAGGGCCTTTGAAATAACAGAAATTTTGCTCCCGATGTCTGTATCAAGTTGCCTTTTTTTTTCCTGGCATAATAGCTTCTGCTTTGCGAGACCAACTAAGTATACAGGAAAGTGCCTCCCACCACGGGGCTGCAGCAGTCCCTTGTTGCTGGTTCTCTCTGCTCTGTTTCTTGCCTTTTCTCCACAGCTTTCATCTCCCTTATATCTGAAAGTATGCTGCCCACCCCAAGTTACTTAGCTTTTTCAAACTCTTGGTTCTTCTGCTTGTAATTTTTGTGAAGCAATTTTGGGCCTGGTAATATGGCTCACAGGGTAAAGGTACTTAACTCCAAGCCTGATGACCTGAATTTGATCTCTGAAACTCACTTGGTGGAAGGAGAAAACTGACTCAAAAGTTGGCCTCTGACCTCCATGTATGTACCCACACACACTCAAAAAAAAAAAAAAAACTTAAAGCCTGTGTCTTTATTTTCCCTAACTGTGTTTGACTTCTGATCTGGATAGCTGTGTTAGTCTGGTTTTTATTTTCTCTTAATAATTGAATACGTCGGGCTGGGTAAGTTTTAAAGACATTCACTTCACCTTGGGTCCAAGGGGCTGCATCTAGTGTTTGCTGTCCTCTGGCAATCACATGACAAGAAGTAGGGTGCTTATATGAATATATATATGTCCTTTTGCTGGTTATCTTCTTGGCCCACAAATATGTCATCTGGAGGCTCTAATGACCTTGTCTAATCTTACCACGTACCAAATGCCCCACGGATAAATACCACTGGATTAAGTTGTCACCTCTGAATGGGAAAAAGACTTAGGACACAAACATTATCTGTAACTAATGAACTCTTTGACTATACTTGCTAATTTTACCCAAAGATTCCTCCAAGCTGCTTTTACTTCTAATTTGAAAAAGCTGTTAAGAATATCTAATAATCTCTATGATTTTATCGTGGAATCAGCCTGTAGTGATTTGCCTTCCAGATAGTTTCCTCAGTGCCTCTCCATCCTGCTGAGCCCTTTCTCATTAGTATACAGCTGACATTTTATTGTGTGTTTGCTTGGGTGTATGTGTGTTGAGCATGCTGAGCTACATCCCAAGCCTGCCTTTTTACTGTTTGGGGATAGAGTAACACTATTTAACTCTCCAACTTGACTACAAAGAGTCTTTTTCCAAAGAATAATGGAAAGTTTCCATAATTTAACTCACAGTCAATGGGGATGTACTGGATGTACTAGGTAACATCTCTTACAGTGTTAAGGGTTTTGCCTCTGTTCAGTTCTATATGAAACATAGCCATCAGGTTATTCTGAATAGCTTCTACCTCTAGCTGTTTCCTTTTTGATTTGCCAATGTACTTCCTTCATAAACAGATGAAGTCTTCAACAAATCCAGTAACTTCCAGTATTGGAGCTACGCCACCCATGTAACTCTGCCACATCTGTGTTTTCATAACTGGCCTACTGGTCTTTGACATGGTGGCATCTCTAGCCATCTTAAACATTTAACCTGAAGCATTATATATGTAATAGAGCTGATGTAGAAAAGCTTTTGTATTCTCCTTTGAACCAGTTTAGGATTGTCATCTACATGGTAGCTTTGTTGTCATCCAGCTCCACTGTGGTTAGAGGTGCTAAGAGTCCTGCAAACTGTCTCCCCATTACCACTACCCCTGTAGTCCTTATGCCCCAGGTACAGGGAGGAAGGGAGAACTTACCTCATTTGTATCCTGGGCTTTTTAACTTCACTTTTGTCCCTTGCCTATTTTAAATCTGTCCTTGAGGAAGTCAGGAATATAGCCAAGGCTATCTACCATCCTTGCCATCCCACATTAACTCATTTTGCAATATGTGTTTTATGTTGATGGTGAATTTTCAGTCTGTAGTGTCTGTTCACCCATTGCTTTCACACCTGCGTTTCTCGTCTTTCTCCCGCTAGATTGTAAGCTCCTTAAGGGCAAGGTCAGCATATCAGCAAAGCTATGTAAACACCATGAACGTGCCGTGCCGGGAATTCTATGGGCACTCAATAAAAGTGTGTGATAATGATGCAACTTCTCACATGCCTACCTAAAAGTCTTTTCAACTTGGAATTTTTAAACTTTGCCTCACTACGTCTGCAGTCTAGGAAGGAAAAAGACATTATCCCTTACTAGGTGACTGCTTGTTCGCTTTTCTTCCTGTCCAGACTGGATGTCTGGTGTTCACAGGATATGGAAATGGATCCTTGTGTGTTTTACAAGTACCAGGTTCTATGCTATGAAACAGGCAACCTTGTGTGTTCTAAAACTAATGGCACAGTTCCGTTTTTTAAAGTGTCCTTTTAATTTTCCGTTATAATACATTTGGCACAAAGAACCCAAATCATAAAGGAGAGTAGTTGGTATAGTATGAAACTGATTGATGGTGGAATGCTGATTGACCACATCACTACACAGTTACAAGTCTGCCTGGATGGCAGTGCACAGTAATCAAAAAGTCTCTGCCTCTGCCTATGCCTCTAGCCACTTAAATGCACTGCTCCTGCTTCAGGTCTGTGACTTTCCACCTTTTTCTTAGATGAGGATTTGCTTTGTGACTAAGAATGATCCCAAATTGAGAACCTTCCTCCACCTCCCAAGTGCTAGGATTACGGGTGTGCTCTATCATAACCAGCCTCTGCCCTCCGCTTTCTGTAAAACAAAAAGAAATACATGATATAGTTGTACTTCAATGATAGAGCACTGCTTAATATGCACAAGGCCCTGGATTCAGGACCCTCTACCAAAAATAGGAATGGAGTCATGCAGAATTTCTTCTATTTGAGTATACATGCCTTTAATCCAGCACTTTAGAGGCAGAAGCAAACAGATCTCTTGAGTTCCAGACCAATCTGGTCTACATGGTGAGTTCCAGGACAGACAAGGCTACATGACACTCTGTCTCGGCTGGGGGTGGTGTTGATATTGCTGATAATAGAGTGTAGGCTATTGCCAGGAACATAAAACATTCTTTGATTTTTTTTTTTTTTTTTTTTTGCGGTCTTCATTAGGGTTGCAAAACAAACCAGGGCCTTCTACCTGCTAACAAGTGCTCTACCACTTAGCCAAACCTCCATCCCTACACATACTCTAATGAACTAATGTATGGAGAGGAGAGGTTGGATAGTTAGCCCAGACACGAAGTAGAAGAGTTAGGAGGAAGCGGAGGACTCAGGAGTGAGCCTAAAAGCCGGCAGCAGGAGCAGTTGGACGGACCTAGGCTGAGGAATACGTGGTCCTTTGGGAGTTTTAAGTGAAGGGATGTCGATTTGGTCCTTTAAATAAACCTGTCATCTTGGTTGTAGGGCACTATTGAGACAAGAACACTAGAGAGGAAACTTTGAGAGCAGTTGGTCGTAAAGGTGCTCCCAAGTATGAAGTTGAGAGGTGAAGTGGAACGACCTACAACACGGGGGCCGGGGAGGGTCAGCAAGTTTTGTCTCAAAGCTCCAAATCCAGTTTGTCCTGCTTTGACACTGTATCAACACTTGGTCCTTCATAAGCTGGCTCAGTGTTAAGCTTTATCCTCACTTTAAAGTAACATGGACAGGACCATTTGGTCGCAGAACCAAGTAGCCCTGGGGAATTGTCTGTGCTTTCAGGACATGCTTCCTCGTACAGAGCAGTTGCAAAAAAAAAAAAAAAAAAAAAAAAAAACATTTCTTGTGGATGTCACAGAGAAGTAATGAAGATATTTACAGACTTTGTCCAAGGACTAACTAACTTCATTTTCCAAGTTAAGGCAGAGAAAATTTTAAGTGAAGCAGGAAATCGGTGAAATGGCAATATATACACTCAACTAGAAAACCAATTTAAAATGACCAACACCACATAGACTCCTCATAAAAGATGTGAGCAGAAAATACAGATTTTGTGTATTGTAGCTGATGTTTCTCTTTTTTGTTTTGTTTTGGTTGGTTGGTTTTTGTTTTGTTTTTCAAGAGAGGGTCTCTGTGTAGCAGCCCTGGCTGTCCTGGAACTTGCTTTGTAGACCAGGCTGACCTCAAACTCACTGAGATCCGCCTGCCTCTGCCTCCTGAGTGCTGGGATTAGAGGCGTGCACCGCCACCACCTCCCAGGGATGTCCAACACAAGAAATGTGTAAAAAAATGTTTAGACACTCCTGCCATTAAATCGGCTTGCTGCTGCTAAAGATGCCTGAAGGAATACTACATACCACTTGTTTTGAAAGTAGTATTGCAGTTTCTTAGGAAATTATATGTGCACTTCACCTTGCAATCAAGCAACCCCACTCCTAGAGAATATGCTCAAGAGTATTGAAAACATTCCACATAAAATACTTTGTGCCTAACCTTTGACACCCTCTTCTGGCACACAGGCTTACATGCAGGCAGAACGCTGTATACAGAGTAAATAAATAAATATATATTTAAAGATTTAAAATAAATCTTTAGCCAAAAAATAAAACAGTGCTCGAATACTTGCAGTTCTGTTACGTCAGTTGGTCTAACTGGAGGCAGTTCATTCAGTTGGCACATCGACATGATGGACTAGCACGCTCATGTAAGAAGAAAGGGATACACGTGAGTACATTTCAAGAAAGGTTATGCAGTGGGGGCAGCGGGTCCAAAGGCATCACATTGTGCTGCTTGCATGGCACACTAATAGGATGATCTGGAAAGTCACTGAGCAGCGTTTCTTTCCATGCAGCAGAAAGGCAGAAGCAGATGACTGTAGGGGGCCTATAGGACCTCCAGGGAGAATGGATAAGTAAATTTTAATTGTTATATTTTATTGTAAAATTCACAGAACTACATCTGAAAAGTGAGAAACTAATTGTACTGTTACTTTTTTGTTGTTTTTTGAGACAAGGCTTCACCTGATATCCCAAGCTGGCTTCAGACCTGCCCCATCATGTGCAGCAATGCCAGCATGATTTATACTTTTCTTATTAAAATGCAGCTGCTGGGAACTGAAGGGTAACTCGATGGTAGATCACTTGCCCTCGGATGGATATTGGGGGGGAGGGTGAACAGAAACGGGGTTTAAATTGAAAGTTAAACAGCTTTTTAGAGAAATGTAATAAATAGGTCAGTTTTACATAGATGTTTAAGAAGAAACAGGAATTGTGAAGATAGGGACTATTAAATCTTTTACTGGGTTTTGATTTTTTGAGACAGAGTCTCTACATTGGCCTGAAATGCATTATGTACACCACGCTGGCCTCTAACCTGAAACCATCCACCTCCTCCTGCCTCCCTACTGCTGTGATAATAGGCATGCATTACTACACAGCATAAAGTTTTTAAATTTTGGATCATGCCAGTGTTTTCCTCCATAGTTATTTTGCCACCACAAGGTGGCAGTATTAAAGGCTTTATATAGAAACCTACTTTGCAAATTTATAATGTCCCATGCTTGTATTTTGTTTTGTTTTTGTTTTTTGAGACAGGGTTTCTCTGTGTCACAGTCCTAGCTGTCCTGGAACTAGCTCTTGTAGACCAAGCTGGCCTCTAACTCACAAAGATCCACCTGCTCTGTCTCTAGGATTAAAGGCAATCGCCACCACCATTCAGTGTTGTTTGTATTTTCTAAGAACTCAACTGAGGATTGAAAATGTGAAATATATTTTCATACATGATAGCATCTTGGAGGAGCCACATAAATATTTTCTTTTTATTTCTTTGTATCTTTGCTCTCTGTGTTGTTGCCTTTGTTTTCTTTCACTAAAGAACTCCAGACCCATGTGAGGAAAGAGAAATAGTTTGAAAGGTGGGTCATGAAATGTCTCCACCTTCCTTCCTCTACTCCCACTCTCATTGCCTACAAGGCTACATCCAAAACTTTAAATGATTTACCACCATCTCTCTATAGTTGTTTGCTTGCTTGCTTGCTTGTTTGTTTTTGGTCTGAGTCTCATTGTGTATCCCTGGCTGGTCTGAAACTCACTCTGTAGCCCAGGCTGACCTCAAACACAAGAGAACACAAGAGATCCACCTGCCTCTGCCCCTGCCTCCTATGCTGGGGTTAAAGGTATGTACCACCATACCTGGTAGCTTTACTTTTCTTAGTTTGTTGTTTTGGGGTTTTGTTGTTGTTGTTGTTTGGTTTTTTGTTTTTTTTGGTTTTTTTTTTTTGGTTTTTTTTTTTTTGAGATAGGGTTTCTCTGTGTAGTTCCAGCTGTCTTGAAACTCACTCTGTAGATCAGACTGCCCCTCCCTCCCAAGTGCTGGGATTGAAGACATGTTACCACACCTGGCTTTTTTTTTTTTTTTACTTTTTATGCTTCTGATTTTTTTTTGGCCAACTTTGGATATTATGCTTTAACTGTAGCATGAACAACAAAAGGCATAAAGATTGAGCTCATTAATAGTTCTCTCCACTCCCTTGCTTAGAATGTTTACTGAGGTATTCTTAAAAAGTCAGTGCATGGAAAAGAAGTTAAATAGGTTAAATTAAATTAATAACAGATTCTTTAAATATTTCCTTTTTAAGAAAAAAATAGATTTTTACAGAAGGGAAAGAACCACAGAAACAAAAACAGCAATGGTTGTGTTATTTAGATCATATACAGGGAAGGGGTGTGTATGTGTGTGTGCTTACTTTCATGATAGCTTCCCTCAAACTGAAGAACAAGCAGATGCACAGAAAAGGTTACAGTATCATAGGCTTTCCTCTGCCCACAAAGTATACAACACCTTAATAGGTCAGCAACTGATGGCTCACTTTAATATGACCACCAGTTATTAGCAGGACTTTGAACTGCAAAACCCTCTTTCTCACAAGAACCTTAATTGGAGCAATCACTTTGGTTTGAGGCTTCCTTTAAAAACCTGAACACAGCAGCAGAATTTCAGGATGAAAAGTGTGTAACATTGACTAAGTTTCCTTACGCTCTTTTCGGTGGGAAAATTGTCCTCCTCTTTCTTCTTGGATCGGGTCATTTATTAGCATCGCTTCCATTTGGAGTCACTATGCAGTATAAAGTACAGCAGTCACATAACCCATTTTCCTCACGATGACTAAACCAATTTTTGCTTGGTGACTGTGGTCTGGGAAGATCAG